TCAAAAGACATACACTTTTGTATACATCCCAACATGGATCATTACAAAGGTTGCCACCACATTGGCCTCTTTTCAAAACATTTTTCAAACCCACACACAAAGCACCATTTCAAACAATTGAAAATCAAGGCAAGTTGATCTAAGCAAGTAACTAAGAGCCCATGGATAACCATGGATAGAAAGGGTGCTAATACCTTCCCTTTTTATAATCTACTCCCCGAACCCAAGAAAACATCTCAAAGGTTTTTGCTGTGCTTTTTAACCTTTCCTCAGGATAAAATAAAAAGTCGGTGGCGACTCTTGCTCAACCGAAACATTTGCAAAAACAAACGCAAATCTCAAGTCAGTTCTCCCACCATATCACAATAGTGAAAATCAACTTGCCGATGTTTTCACAAAAATGTTTGCAACCAAACCATCTTTCAACAAACATATAGATTTGGGGATTGTTAACGTCTCCCATGTTACCATCTTTATTATGATGCTTGCACTTTTATACTTTTCTCTAACAATTAGTTTGAGTATTTTACATCATGTGAGTGCAACTTCCATTCCATCAAGAGTGAGGTAATATTGTTCCAAATCTCTCCTTGAAAGTAAGAAGTTTCTTAATACATGTTTTAGTTGATGAAAAATGCTTGCTATGTTCTCAAATGATGAAAACCATGAATGTTCATTTCCAAATTTTTTGATTGATAACCATTGTGTGTTCTCAATGTATATGCTTATAATGACTTCATGTATTTACTCTTTCACATTTGTATAAGTTTGTTCTTGTATGTACAAGTATGCGTTTCTATTTTTATTTCTTGTATTTGTGCATGAGTTGAATGTAAGCATGTTAATTGCATGTACAGTTCATGCTGTAGTTGAGTCACATTTTATAGCAACATTTTCATTTTGGATTTGAGTAGTGACATGTTCTTGTCGATATGCTAGGCACATGCGTGTGCGACATCAGGAATTCCATTATGTTTTGTTACGAAATCCCGACGCTATAGAAGCAACTTAACTAGCTTGCTCATGCATCACATTCATTATTATTCATGCAATTGCATTACATGTTTGGTAATGTTTTATGCTTGTTATCTATTTTTTTTGCAACATTACATATATATGGGGATATATAATTGTGTGCTCTTCTTTGTAAAAACGCCTCTGTGTGATATATTAGAATTGGTATTGGAATATGATACTTCTCACAAATTTGTCTTCTTTCTTTTTGATGTTTTCAAAGGGGGAGAAGAATATGCGAGATGAATATGGGAAGCACAAAGTCAGGGGGAGCCTTCGATAACTTCATGAAATGCATCATCACAAGTTTTGCCATCATAAAAAGGGGGAATTTGTGAGTGCAATTTCACTATCAGATATTTCATATGATGTCAAAACTTAGAAAGCTAGCATTTCAATATGGTGAATGGTATCCTTATATCTTGTAGCTCTCCTCTGTATTATAAGTCTTAGGAATCATAAAAAATTACTTTGAAATTAACCCAACACATTGAAAAACAGTTTCTGCATGTTTTTGTATTGCATGTGTTGACACATTCAATTTTCAAGTCGACACATGTAACTCAATTTTTAAGCCTGCAAGCTTCTCTAAGTCACAAGTCGACACATATAACCTTCAGGTCGACACATAGTGAAAGATTTCTGAAATTGCATAAATTCTTATTTTATGTGTCAACACATCCATATTTTAGGTCGACACATTTACTCACGTTTTAAAGCCCGTAGCTTCTGACTTGTTCAGGTCGACACATAGAGTCCTTCAGGTCGACACATGCATTTTTTTATAACGTATGTGTTGACACATACGAATTTGAGATCGACACATAAAATCTGTTTTGGTCAAATTTTCAATTTCTTTTATTCTGAATTTGTCCTTTTTGTTTAAATATTTCCAACTATAAATATATCATTCATGCATCATTCTAACTTGATGATACCATAAAATTAGCCTACATTTCTTCTTCTTCTTCAACCTTCCAATCTATGCATACACACCAATATTATATTGTCATGATGTTCCGTCGGAGTGCCATCTAGACGAAGAATTATGGATTTCCAATTGGTTTGAGTTGAGACTTGTAGGGGTCTTCATCTAGGAAAAACCATTGGGTTTCTCCTCCAAAATCATTCGTTGAATTGAGGGTTTTCGTGCAAGATCGCGCGAGAAGGAATCGTACATGTGAAAAATCCCTTGGAGTGTTTGAAATCTTTTTAAGGAATCTTAGAGTGTTTAAAATATTTTTAAGGAAGTAGCAAGAATTAGATGATAGAAACGATGATCTTGTGTTGATAGTATGCAATCAGATTTACTCGAGTGAAAAATCCTTTGGAGTGTTTGAAATCTTTGTAAGGAACCTTGGAGTGTTTGCAATCTTTTCAAGAAAGTAGCTTAAGCGGCGAATAGGTTGCATATATCGGTCTTGGTCTTGTTGAAGATCAAAAAAAGAGAAGGGGTTAAATCAACATCAAACGATTATGGTTTGTAGTATTGCTCTTGAACACTTCTCTTGTAACCATACTTTTGCAAAGTAAGAATTATCCTAATTCCATTGGAATTAGGCGCAGACGTACCCACATGCGAGGACGAAAATAGGGAACTCTGTAGACAAATCCTTGTATATCTTTTCTTTTATCGCTTTTACTTTCTTTAATATTCTTCAATAAATTTGTCAAATAGGATTGCGTTATCAATTGAACTGTAAAAAATTTTCCAAACTATTTTTTGATTTACATCAAGTGTTGATATTGATTATAATCACTTTTGATTATAAGTGCTTTTGTGTATCAACACAACTTAAAGAAAAATTCTGAAAATTCACTTGCACACCAAGTATTTGACAAATTGTTTAGCTTATTCAACTCAAAGGAAAATTGAAATATTCTATCACTTACTCTCATTTACTCTCTGTGTTCAATTTGTTGAATGTATTGTTTGATTGATCAATTCGAATATAATTTTTCTTTTATTTTTAAAGTTTAAATTGCTTTGTTGATTAACTTATAATCACTTTGATTGTAAGGGTTTTTTCATATCAACTAAGCTCAAAGAAAATTCTGAAAAATTGACTGCGCGCGACATGTTCGATAAAATATCGAGTTATGTTTTTAATATGATTTTATTGGAAATATGAAACCGTTGTGTTTAATATTAAACTATTAATTGAGATATTATTATGTTGATTAATTTTATTATTATGTTAATTTCATATGGCTTGTGCATATCCGAGTTTCCAATAACTAGGTTCGTTTAGACTACTATATTGATCTAGGCAAAAAATCTTTCGCTCAACATTGTTTTTCAAATAAGTTTTAAATAATCATTTTGAAAGGTAGTTTTTATTTGGGGATCTATTCACCCTCCTATAGATCCGGTGCCGTCGTCTAACAACATATCATAATTCACCAATTTCATTATAATTATCACGTTATCAATTCATCATAAAACCCCAAACAACCTTCCATACATCTAAACCCCTATCAATGGTGATAAACAGATTAAACCCCTACATACCGACCATTATACACCATCCTTAGAGAGTTGGAACCCCACCCTTACCTTAAATTGATGGTTATCAAGCTTCAACAACAGAGTCTTCTTGCCCTAACTCTTTTCACCTTCTTGCTTTCTCTTCTCTCCAAAATATGATCGTACAAAATGATCACTCTCAACCTCATTTTTTCTTTATGTCATTTTTACCCCTTGGACCCTTATTAGGTTGTTTCACTCTCGCTCTCACTTATTCTACACAATATTACCGTTATGCCCTTAGTACCTCTACACCAAATATCATCCCTATTTAATTATAAAATTAAATCTACATCATCGTAACTAATTATCCACTTTATTAATAATTATAATTATTTTATTAATCCAACACTACTCCACAACATGCCATCCAACCATCTATTGTATCAAATAAATCACAATGACATGATTAAATAGTAAATATAATATTCGGGGTGTTATATTGTACCTCAATTACCCACACGCACATCCAAATTTAAGATTACACCTCCTGTTTCCTATTTTCATTTTTACTTCTATTTTTTCTTTTATATTTTCTTTTATTCTTTTAATAATTAAAAATGATAAAATGATAGAAATGTTTGATTTTATTTGACATTTTATTTTGTTATTTTAGATCTTATTTTCTTCATGTTCATGTTGATTCTTTGATAAATTTTTTGCCATGTTCTTGATAATGCTTTGATGCTATTTCTTGTTGAATCTTGATGATGTTCTTGATGCCATGCTATGTCTTTGATGAAAATAATTATGATGATTCTTGATGTTTGATTCACTTCTTGATTATCCTTTTGACATGTTATTGATAATCTTATGATTTGATTCTGATGACTCTCTTTAAATGACTTGTGGCATGTTAAAGTTGTTGAGTGATCTTGTTGAGTTTTGTACTCGATGATTGTGGATTGATCTTGACATTTACTTGATGTTTGATGTTTGTTGTTGATTGTTAGTGTGCTTCACATGCTCTCTTAGGTTTTCTTGATTTTATTTTAATCTTTGATTAAAATTAAATTAAGATAGACATTATGTTTCTAATCCAAACATGACAATATGATTAAAGTTTTTCTTCAATCTCAACCTTAGAGCCATTGATGCATGACAACATTAGAATTGAAGTTCCCTTTACTTTTTTATTCTTTTGCATTGCATGTTTCTTTTATTTTAAAAAGACTAAACTTTTTTTTTCTTAATAAAATACAAAATACCTAATAAATACGATACATATAATACGCCATGACTCTTAATATGTTTGAAAGTATTAATTATGACAAATATTTAAAAAAGAAGGAATTGATATTTAATTAGGAATTTCGCCTACCTTTCCCTCCGACTACCCCAAACCAAACCCACCCTAAAATTTTGTAGCAAAACCTCGTTTGACTGTTTCTGACGCGCGCGGTAAGGGCACTGAACTAATCTCACCACCATCACCTGGTTTTTTGTTCCACCGCCGGCAATGAACGAAACTCTCCAACCTCAACAGAACCAAACCGAACAACCTCTCACTCTCCACACACTATCTTCCATCCGCTCTCTTCTCATCAACCCTTCAACCCCAAAACGCACCGTTTCCTCACTCCTCCAAACCCTAACTCAATCCCCAAGACCCACTCACCACACTCTCAACCTCCTCTCCGACCTCGCAACTCACCACTCTTCCTTCTCCCAACCCGCCCTCGACTCACTCATCCACTCCACCGATTCGCCCACTCGCCTCGCCGTCGATTCCCTCGCCTCCATTTCTGAATTGAGTTTCCCCGAACTTGATGACGAACGCTTCGTGTCGCTGTGTTTCGGACCCTCGATTCCCGGGAGAATATGGATGCTGAGAAATGCGGGTTGTACGTTTAGAGTCCGACCTGCATTGTTGTTTACGGTGTTGTTGGGGTCCACGAAGGATCCTTATCCTTATGTGAGAGCGGCTTCGTTGGAAGGGCTTGTTGGTTTAAGCGGGCATGGAGAGTTTTGTGATGTTAGCATGGTGAAAGGATGTTATTTACGTGCTCTGGAGCTTTTCGATGATATGGACGATTGTGTTAGGCTCTCTGCAGTTCGTGTTGTAAGATCAACATTCTCTTACTTTTCTAGATTGGTTTTAACATTCAAGTGTTTTCTTACGGTGTTCAAAATTGTCATGTTTTAATACTTGTTAATATCAAAAGGTGTGTAAGTAGACTATGTTTTGACTTTTGATTGATGGACTAGAACTAAGCGGAGCGGAATGAAACATGATGGAATGGAGTGGAGCAAAGATTTCATTCCATTGTGTATTGTTTATAATTTGATGGAACATAACATAACAAAATAGTTCACTCCATTGCATACACCCCAAATTACGGGAATGAAAATTGAAGAATTAGATGGAATAGGATGGAATGGATTCCATCATGTTCCATTTCGATCTATCAATTATTTGCAAATTCAAACAGTGGAATCTAATTATATACCACTTCATTCCATTCCACCACATTCTATCAATCTAAACCTACCTGCAGTTTTTAATACTTAGAAAGTCTTATCCCACATATTTGTTTGTAAATTTTCACAATATTAAGGGCTGAGACGTGATCACATTTTAAAACTTTGCTTAAAGGAGTTGTATTTTAATGTCCTTATTGTCATGTATAGAATGAGAAGATTACACACTTTGGTGTTTTTCTTACTAGAAGTTTTCAGTTGATGGTGAATGATTAATATTCTGGTTTTGAGCTGTTTGTGTAAGCAAAACAGTATATAAATAATTGATGGTAGAGTAGTTGTGTAAATGATATATGAGTTGTTGTATTTCAGGTAGCTTCATGGGGTCTGCTGTTATCAGCTTCTAATGCAGACATGAAGGCATATTGGTGCAATGAAGTGTTTGCTAAGGTATATTCTTTATATTGTGGGTTGCACATGGTATGGTGGAATCTATGTCACTTCTTTTTTTGGTGCGGAGTATCTGTTTGAGTTTTCGGGCATTTCTAACTGTTCTTGACTGGACCCCTTAATATCACATATGGCATAACACATTCATTTCATGTGCGTGTAGCTTTGTTCTATGGCAAGAGATATGAGCGTGAAAGTTAGAGTTGAAGCCTTTAGTGGCCTTGCAAAGATGGAAATGGTATCGAAGGATTTTCTCTTGCAAAGCTTATCAAAGAGAGTTTTAGGGAATGGAAAACAAAGGGAAACTATGGATCAGATCACTTCTGAACAATTTGCGATGTTGGCAACTAGTGTTGCCGGTGCACTAATGCATGGACTTGAGGATGAGTTTTTTGAGGTAAATTTTTAATAATGTCATAGCAATATATTGCTCTTTGATTACAAGGTTCATCTATATGTTGACTTACTATCTGCCTTAATCTCATGACTAGTTCCTTGTTTAATTATATGAAAATTATACTGTGTTTCTGCTTTACCTGTAGGTGCGAAAGTCTGCATGCCAGTCCTTACACAGACTGACAATCCTCTCTGTTGAGTTTGCTCGTGAAGCCTTAGACTTGTTAATGGATATGTTGAACGATGATTCCGTGGTGGTTCGGTTACAAGCTTTAGAAACCATGCATCATATGGCACTTAATGGCTGGTTAAAGCTTCAGGAAAAGCACTTGCACATGGTATCTTTCTGATTTTTGTTAGTAATTTTTCTGTTCAGAATATAATTTAGTTTCAGTAATTTTTCTTATGATCGAAACTGCAAGATCCACCTCATTGTTATTAGTTAAATTATCCTTCCGGCCTATGTTTTGGAGACTTAATAATTACACTCTTATATTTCTTTCTGTAATCTTAATTAGAAGATTTATCCGGTTTATGGGACCAAAATGGGATTGGAGTTTTCATGGTTAATGAGTTCTGCTAGTGGTGTGATTCTATTCCTTGATGATGAGTAGATTATTTACAGTTGTTTGGGTTTCAATATGATGAATAATTTATCTTACTAGATTTGTAGAATGCCAGATCACTAGGGTTGAAAAAATTGCTTTTGGAAAGTGAAGATTGACTAGTGAGGTGCATAGAGATATTGTTCTTGATGGAAGCCAAAAAGGTACCATTTTTAAGATTGATGGGAAGTTGAACTTATGATAAGCAGAAATAAATGTGTTTAGACATCTGAGAAGCTCAAATTAAACAGAAAAAAAAACATATTTTGGTATTGGTAATCAAATGTTATACCAGGGACTGTTGTCTTTTCAAAAAATAATGTATATTAAATTTCACTTAGTTGCAGAGTTTATTCTTCAACTAAAAATCGTTTTGGATGGCTCTAAACTTAAGATAAAACTTTTTTCATTTTTAGAACCTAGTGAACAGCGTGAAAGGGCTGATCAGATTTTATTGAGACGACTTAAATATATTTGTTTGTCAAACAGGTGAAAATTTCTCTTGCTGGTTTCCATAATGTCATTACCTTTTTCCTCATCTAAGGGGCAGTTTTTTACTGATATTCTGCTAATGTTTCATTACTTTTGCAGTTTCTTGGTGCTCTAGTGGACAATTGTAGGGAAGTAAGATGTGCTGTAAGGAAAATACTTAAAGTAGTGAGGCTAGGTGATCTTGCAATGTTCAAATCATCTATTGACAGACTACTGAAAAATTTAGACAGTTATCTGCAGGTATGTTTTGTACTATGCTATGAAAGACTAACACAAATACCTGCACGACACCAACATGTCAATATTGACAACAATTTGACAAAAATGAATTAAATGTTATCAGTCACATCCCTTTGTTCCTCTTTGCATCTGACACATCGTTTTTTGTTTTTATCAGTTACATGCTTCTTAATCTTACTGTCTTTTGAAATAACAGAGCTATGGTACTAAATGCAACCACTTTTTAGCAACTCGTAGCTATTATTTCACAACCGTTTTATTACAACTACTATGCTTTCAGGATGAAGCTGATGTATTTTCTGCTTTCTCTCATCTTGGTCGAAATCACAAGAAATTTGTAGGCTACATCGTCAAGGAAACTTTTGAAGAGGTGCGCTTCTGTAGAGTATATATATAATATAATCAAATATAACATGTTGAATATTTTGCAATGAAACAAATATAGCTTAAGTCGTTAAAAAGAGTGGCACTGATTATTTTTCGGTGTTGCTATTACAGGTAGAAGCAGCTTTTGAAGGAAATGATGGATTTAAGAGTGCAAGGATAGCTGCACTTTTAATCATTTCTATATCTGCTCCGCTATTTAATGAATATTTAGGCATTATACCACCAGTATTGTTTTCTTATGCAGTTACATTGCTGGGTAGAATTTATCTTGCTTTTAGTGATATCATGGATAAGGATACCCTTTTGGCATACCTATGTGAGAAAAGCAGACCTTCAAGCGATTCTGTCTCAGATATTAACCATGAAGATGTGGAGCAACAATTGTCTTTAATTGAAGGCGATACTCCAAACTGTGATAGCAATGGGGTGATTGATTCCAAAATTGGATCACAAATCATGAAAGAACAAAAGGAGGTAACCTGCTATCAGGTAGAACAACATCAATCAGAGTATAGTGAAGTGACAGTATACGTAAACTTCATCCTTGCAAAGTTCCCTGATATGTGGCAGATGATAGAGACAGGTCTTACTAATGAAGTGTTAAGGTCTTTGAGGTAATAAATTGTAGTATTGCTCCAATAACGTTTGTGTCTTGGCATTTACTTTCATTTGTTTCATCCAAGTATAGAAATTTTTGCATCTATTGCATCAGATGTCCTTAATTTGCTTACTGTAGAAATTTTTGGCGTTATAGATGTATATTTGTATACCAAGTATACATTGCATATAAGATACAGGGATTCCTGTTATTTAGTGTCTATATTCGGTTTGTGGACTTGAAATTTAAGATGTCCGGAAAGCTTGTAAACTGTTCTTTTGGTTGCTTAATTAGCATATATGCATCTAATATTGGCTTCTTTTTTTTTCCAATCATTAATGTTGCAGGTGTTTGAAGGAGGAATTGACATCTCTGAACATTGACTCTTCGGAGTCTCGTGATGCTTTGGCATTTACATTGCTGTATCTCCGGATAATAAAACTACTCGTAGAAGTGTGGGAGCACTTGTTACCAGCAAAAGGTTCGTGCTCTCATGGTCTGGCAGAATTGGAATTCAAATTGGGAAAGCTTGATAAGAGGATTAAAGAATTGATGAGTAAGCTTGTAGGTTTTTCCGCGGAAGAAGAATTGAATATCTTGGAGCTTATATTAGTGACCTATGCCCTCAGGCTATGGAAAGTTGAAACTATTTGTGTCAATCTTACATTCAAGAGGTTGACTTCTATATATTCATGCGTTGAGTCTATGCTTAAAGAAAGACCAGTTTTGCCATCCAATTTTGTAGTTGAACTTGGTAAGTTATTACACAAATGTCAAACCGCTTCTGTCAACGGAGCTTCCTGCAGTACACTTCAGTTTGATAAATGTCTCAAGCTCTTCTCTCTGAAGAAGTTTGTGTTTCGTGGAACAATCAGACAATTAAAGGCAGAACTAAGCATTTCCAATAACGACTCTCTACATCCTTTTCCCTTTGTTTCAGGATTACCGGTTAGTGTACCTTGTGAAATCACACTCCATAATATTATAAGCAAGTGTAAGTTGTGGTTGAAGATGAGTTTTGATGATGGTTTAGTGCAGTATGTGTTTCTTGATTTGGACCATTTAGAAGGTTATGGAGATGTAAGAAGTTTTGCTTTTGTGGCCCCATTTTATAGAACACCTAAAGCTAATTCTTTTAGATTGAAGGTTTGTATTAGCTTAGAATGTTTGTTCGAAAGTGTTTGTCCTGTGCAAAGGTATGGAGGACCAAAATATGAACTAGTACCTCTTTGTAAAGAAAAACAAGTTTATTTTTCAAATGTCAATAAAGATTAATTTTATAGCCTGATTAGTGAAATTCAACCTTTAGATACCTATGCACTTTCAAGTGGTCTACATTGTAAATTATGCATGTATTTCCTTAAATAGTGATATTAATATCATGTACACACTTAAATTGTGCATCTATTATCTTAAATAGTATTATCTCGGTTTCCTTTTATAAGAGATAACTTATTTTCAGTGATTATTCAATTAACTTAAAAGTGATTTTTCTCTTTTAGAAAATAGTAATATTATTTCATGTACACACTTTTCATCCTTGAAATATGTTGTTCAAACATGCAGAATAATTTTAGTTTTTGTTTAAACCTAAAAAGAATAATTTTATAACTTTTTTTAAGAGAAAACATTGTTTCATAATAACAATGAAACATTACCATTTCTAGCTTGATAGTTTTTTAAATTTTATATAAAACGTTTGGACAATTTTTAAATTAATCAACCTTTGAAAAATCAGCTTAGTGCTTATCCTGATAACTTTTGTAATATCCTTTTGGAAGTTTAGAGGGGATTAAAATTGAGGACTTTGAAGAACGAGATTTGTAAAAAAATAAACAATTTTTTTTTACATTTTTAAAATTTTATATTTTATAAAATACTAAATGTTATCATTACTATATTTTAAAATTTTAAAATATTGTAACAACATAAAATATATTTAAAAAATTATGATAAATTCTTTAAAATCTTTTTCTAATACACATTTGGAGTTATCTAAATTAAGGAAATTTTGTGTTACGAGTAAAAACAAAATTTTGAAAATCTTCTAAATTAAAATTCTTCGATTCTTTTTATTATACTTTTTTTTTTAATTTTTATTTTAAAGTTCTCAGTTCTTCTCCAAACTCTTAAAGGCTGATGAAAATGAAAGTCTAAAAAGCTTGTAATTATTTATTTATAATTTTAAAAAATTTCTGACCATGGCGTGACAATATTTTGAGAAAATATTATCCCATATTCTATATTTATTTTCGTATTCATACACTTTACCAATTTTGACTAAAATATTATTATATAGATAATATATTTGATTTTTTCTTCACTTTTTCAATCATTCGTTTTTCAAAATATCTGATACAGAGAAAAAAAATCCATACTGGAAGTCTTTGAAGAAGTTCTCCGGTCCACAAAACTCAAACCAAAAATCAGAGTAAGTCTTCCGGTTTATGAAATATACCATAACTGTTTGAAAAAGTATTCAGGTATATTGAAACTATCGGAATTATTCTGTAAAGTTTTCTTGTTCGTAGGTATTAGAAAAGAAGAATGAGAAGAAGAGAGTATTCATCTATAACAGAATTCTGTTATTCTGTTTTCTGATTTTTTTCAGTTATTACAAAAAGACTCCTTGATGTTTTATATACAACATCAAGGGTAACCTGCTATTACAGGTTAGGGCATACTGTAACTTACAGTTGCCAGTCAAGGGAATAACAGTAAAGCTACTTATACATTTGCTTATACATTCAATAACCCCCCCACAAACTGAGGGGAGCTAGCTACCCTGAGTTTGTGTATAAGCTCCAAGAATCTGGTGGAAGGCAAGGGCTTGGTCAACACATCAGCAAGCTGATCAGTGCCAGGAATGTGCAACACTTGAATTTGTTTAGCCAGAACCTTTTCCCTCACAAAGAAAAGATTAATCTCCATATGCTTAGATCTGGAGTGCAAAACAGGATTATGAGCTAACAGTACGGCTGACTGATTATCACACAGAATAATAGGAGGCTTGGTTTTAATACACAGTTCCTGCAAAAGTGTTTGTATCCAAAGAAGGTCAGCTGTAGCCTGAGCTAAACTTTTGTATTCAGATTCAGTGCTGGACCTAGCAACAACAGGCTGCTTCTTTGACCACTAGGCAACCAAATTAGTTCCAAAGGAAATGGCAGCACCAGATGTACTGCGCCTGTCATCTGGATCTGAAGCCCAATCAGCATCACAGTAGACATGAAGAGAGGGAACAGCCTGAGAGGACATAGGGTTGAGAGATAAACCATGATGTAGAGTACCTTTCAAATATCTAAGAATCCTTTTGACAACTTGCCAGTGAGAATCAAGAGGGTAAAACATAAATTGACATACTTTGTTAACAACATAGGTCAAATCTGGTCTGGTGATGGTGGCATACTGCAATACCCCAACCACAGACCTGTACATAAAAGGATCAGAAAAGGCTGCAGACCCAGTTTTGGTGAGTTTGCAGGTGGACTGCATGGGAGTGCTGACAGAGCAAGCTTCCAACATGTTGGTTTTTTGCAGCAAATCTCTGAGATACTTAGTTTGGGTGAGGAGCATAGAGCCATTAGCTGACTGCTTAACCTCAATGCCCAGAAAATAGTCAAGATCCCCAAGGTGCTTGAGAGAGAAAGCAGAGTTAAGCTTTTGAATGACCTCTTGGAGAAGAGTAGTAGAGCTACCTGTGAGGATAATATCATCCACATAAACCAGTAGATAAAGGGAGTGTCCTTTGGAGAAGTAGGTGAAGAGAGAGGGATCACACTTGCTGGCTTTAAAATTGAGCTTGAGAAGAGTTGTTTGCAGCCTCTCAAACCACTGCCTTGGAGCATGTTTCAGGCCATACAAAGCCTTATTGAGTTTACACACCAGAGAAGAGTCAGGGTGAACAAACCCTGGAGGCTGTTCCATGTAAACTTCTTCAGTGAGGAAACCATTAAGGAATGCATTATTTACATCCAACTGCTGAATAGACCACCTGTGGGTAATGGCAATGGTGAGAATAATCCTGATAGTAATAGGCTTTACAACAGGGGAAAAGGTTTCAGTAAAGTCCAGCCCATGTGTGATACGGTGGGAGAACTGACTTGAGGTTTTGCGTTTGTTTTCGCAAAAGTTTCGGTTGAACAAGAGTCGCCACCGACTTTTTATTTTATCCTAAGGAAAGGTTAAAAAGCACAGCAAAAACCTTTGAGATGTTTTCTTGGGTTCGGGGAGTAGATTATAGAAAGGGAAGGTATTAGCACCCTTTCTATCCATGGTTATCCATGGGCTCTTAGTTACTTGCTTAGATCACTTGCCTTGTGTTTTCAATTGTTTGAAATAGTGTTTTGTGTGTGGGTTTGAAAATGTTTTGAAAAGAGGCCATTGTGGTGGCAACCTTTGTAATGATTCATGTGTGAATGTATACAAAGGTGTACTTGTCTTTTGAAAAAGTTTTCAATGTTTTTGAAAGTTGTTTTGAAAGTGTTTGTGGAGTGTGGTTTTGAAAAATAGGCAAGTGTGTTTTGCAAGTTTTGTCAAGTAACTAAGAGTTGTCTACCCCTAAATTTACTCAAAGGTTTTTCCTATGTTTTAACCCTTTTAACAATTTTGTTCCACCATTGTATTTGGTGGACAATGTTGTGTTAGGATGTTAACGGGACGGGCGCGGATCATCGTTTAGACCATGATTGCAATGGTGCCAAGTGTCTTTGGCAATTTTTCCTTTAAGGGACTTGATCATTTTTAGGCAACTTTCGAAAGCGTCATCGAGGGACTATGATCATTTGATATTGTTTTGTTTTGCCAAAGACACCCAACATGCAACATGGCCCATTATTGAAGGCAACAAGTGGAGTAACCCTAGGGGTGCAAGTGTGATTGGTGTTGTCCATTTTCATGCTTTTTTGTCTTTGAATTAAGTCAAGCTATTTGTTATTTTGTTTTTGCATACAAAACCCTAAGTCTATCATGGCATATTTAGAAAGCTTTAAAGTGCGGAATTTAAAGTCCTAAATTATTATAACATAATTATGGGATGGGGGTACAAATGTTCAAATGGGGATATTTAGCAAGAAATTAAAATCTAAGCTATTACATCCAAATTGAATATACAAAGATTAATTGTACAATAATTAAGTAAATACAAATAAAATGTAAAATGTATTATGCACAAAAATGTTTTTATGGGTATGTAAAAAGTATTTTTTTCATATGAAATATAAAAAATAGAAACAGGTTAATTTTGGACATTTTCTCATTTTAGGGCAAAACCCTAATTTGTCCAAATAAAAGGTATTTATCATTTATTATATATAATATTTATTAATTATATACAAAAAATAAATAAAAAGGAAGTATATTGTAAAAAAGTGATTTTTGAGGTTAAATATTAATAAAAATAAAAATGTATTATTTTTGTATTTTTATCCTAAATATTCTAAATATATAAATATTTATATTATGTGTTAAATATATTAAATATATACAAAAAATAAAAATATTTATTATTTACAAAAAAAAAAAATATTTTTTAGAAAATGTTTTTCAAAAGATAAAATAAAATAAAATCAGAAAATAAAATGTATTTGTATTATTTTTAGTATTTTAAATAAAAGTATATATATATTTATTTACATACACATATCAAATAAAACAAATAAATGCCTAAAAAATACAAAAAAAAAGGTGAAAAATATTTTTAATGTTTTTTATATTTTAACAAAAAATAACAAGTCAGAAACAAAAAGAAAAAGTCAAAAATGATAAAAATAACACACAATGGGCCAAGGGGGTGTATGTGTGAAATAATGGTGTAAACAGAAAAAATAAGCCAGGCCCAGCCCAAAGGACTTTCTCTTCAACCTCCAGCCATTTTGAAACAAAAACGCGCGTCTTCTTGTTCATCTCACTAACTTCTGATTCTTTGATCTTTTGACAAATCTTAAAACATGAAACTTGTAGAGCTTGAAGCCACGATTCTAAACATATAAAGAAGTTGATCTAACTCTCAGAAATGAGAGAGAATTTCTTCTCCCCCAATTCCTAACCTAGCTTTTTTCAGATATTCAGTTTCAAAATTCTCTCAGTACACACAACATAAATGAAAAGTAATGACATGGGTAGCTTCAGGGCCATGAGTAGGACACAACTTCTTCACAAACCTAAGCCTAGATATGCATGGATAGAGAGATAGAAGTTCAAACTTTTACCTGTTCAGCTTGATTCGTGTACAACAATGGGGGCACTTTCAATGCAGTGTGAGGACTTGTACAGCT